CCCCAAAACCCCAAAACCCCAAAACCCCTTGTAATTAGACAATTATTGCAAGGTATATAATAATTATGGAAAATATTCAAGACCAAGAAGACCTCAACAGCCAAAAATGACTGAAGGAGAGCCTCCCAATGGCAAAGGAAATCATAGAGGCTGTCCTAGACACTATTCAGGAGCACTATGACGAGATTGAGCTTCGTAAGAAAGTTCCCATATTTGCAGCTGATCTCCTCGTCTCACAGCTAAACCAAAGCATGATGTCAGGAGTAGTTCCGTTATGTGATAACCGAGCTGATGACTTACTAGCAGACCAAGTATTTCCAGTTGAGTCTGACTCAACCCTTGTATATGAGTACATACAAGATGACGAGCCCTTGCAGCCTCCTACTGACTATTGTTGCAAAGAGAGGGTCAAAGTTAACTTTGTGTACAAATACAAAAATGACTCCAAAGTCAAAAAGAAGTTATCTATTAGTAAATAAATCAAAAAGTTCTCTTTCCAAGAGGTACATAATGAGAGCAACAACAAAGCTGTTCAGTGAGACTTCTGAGACCTCCTACCAAAATAGCCCAAAGAAAAAGAAACTACCAACCTTTGAAGAGCAATATGGGGATATAATAAAGCCTCTTGCTGATGTAACTCCTTCTTCTAAAGGACCTAAGATTACTTATGACGATGGCTTAACTCCTGAAACTATGGAAAGGCTCCGCCAAGAATCTAACAAGCGCATCAAAGCTAAGAAAATGAAGGAGCAGGACATGAGAGAAATGCTTCAGGCTAGAAGTCACAGTTATAATAAATAACATAGAAAAGGACATTGATTATAAAGATGGGAAAACTCCTGACTTTGAAGAACAGCTCACTCATGCTTTTCAGATCAAGTACAAACGAGCTGACTCGCTTGGAGTCAGAAATCTTATAATTGATAAAGACCAACTGATCCGTGCCTCCCGGCCTAATATGGACAGACTTATTAAAGTCCAAAACATGAAGCATGAAATCAGGGATCCTGGCCAAGAGTTATTCCCTGAAGAGACCTCCATCACTGGTCAAGATGAAGGAGCAATAAATGGAGAAAACAAAACCCAAGGTTTTTTTAATCAACATGATAAGGGAGAGGATCTTTACCAACAGATGGTAGATGAATCTGAAGAAACTAAGATCAAGCCCGCATTGAAGCCAATCAAAACTCTCAATAGGTAAATTTATGCTCAAAAGCTTTAGGAAAAGTACAATAAAAGTGAGCAAAGATAACTCATTGATCACTTCAAATCCTTCCAGTGGCATAAAGTTTAGCAAAAATTTCACAGGAAGGCAGGATATTAGTAATTCCTTGTGTCTGATTCCTAGGTAATGCATTCTCCTCACTTCGGAGAAACTTCCTTCCAACATTTGGAGTAACATACTCTGAGAAACAGAAGGAGGCTAAGATGAACCAACAGCAATCATCCTTAAAATTAGCGCCATCTTCATTAAAAAGACTCTCGAACAACATTGCCAGCACTTCTGACATGAGTGTACAAGTCAAGGGTGAAGACTACATTTCAAGTCTTCCTCAGAATAGGATGCGTAGAAAGGATTATGAAGCAAATAACCTCTCCTTCGACAACATCCGCCCGTTGTACAACATGTCAAGTGCCCAAAAATTTGACAATCGTTCTATGAACCACTCTGAAGCCACTTTTGGTCATAGAGAATCCCGGGTGGACACACTCAAGCGTGAAGTCTCCCACAGCTTACTTGTTAACAAGCCGTTGCATGAAGAATTTAGGGATGAATATGATGGACAGAGAGATAAAAGTAATGTGTATCTACCAAAGTTAAAGACCAAATACACTCTTCACATCACAGATATGGGCCCTAGAGTTGTTAATAAAAAGTAAGCTAATTATGATCATGATCTCTAGACTTGTTGACAACACAACTAGTCAGAAGTCGGAAACTGTTTCAAACATTGACGATGAAGTTGAAGATAGTCTCCTCAAGACTGAAAAAGACTATCCTCAGCCTGATTATTTTCCAGTGGCTTCTAATCCCAAGTTTAGTTTGAAGAAGTGGAAAAGGAAGAAGAGAGGAAACTTCGATGCTTCTAAATCTATAGATTACAGTATTTTCCAGAAAAAGAGACAGTACTTAGATCTTTACATGAATTCTAATGAATAAACTTTTATTTTTCCCGAATTATGGGGTTTTGGGGTTTTGGGGTTTTGGGGTTTTGGGG